CCCACTGTGATCATACACTAAAGTATGGTGGCATCCAAAGGGAAAGAAGATAGAGAAAAAGAGTCGCCAACAAGTTTTAGGAACTTGTAAACCGTCCACAAGGTGAAGGTTACACCCCTTAACGATCCAGGAGATCATCAACTCCAATCGGTCTGGAACCATGACTTGTAGTTCGGGGATGAAGGTACAAATCCAACCTAAAAGAGATTGAACCTGCCCTAATAATAGGCCTCTACTTTATTCTGATCATATTCATGTGCGCTTTCTGACTAACATGCAATCATTAGAATTTACCCTAAACTTGTTTAATCTATGTTGGTTGAATTTAATGCACAAATTAATCTATTATTGGAGATCACTTGAATTATAATCAAATTAACCCTAAACAAGATTATTAATTATCTTATTAAGCATGATTACAAGTACAAATTCCCTTTAAACATGCAAAAAAGGAATGATCAAGAAATAACAATAAATATCATCAAGCAACATAATCATAATCAATAATCAAAATAATACATGATAAAAAAAATAATTAAAATAATTATATTAAAGCATAATAATAGCAAGATCCTAGACATAATACTAACAAGATTAATAACAAACCCTAGCATGTCACTAAACAATAAAGATCAAAGCTTTAGCCCTAACATGATACTAACATGAATATTAGGAAAGAACATAGAAAGTATCACAGAAATCATAATAAGCATATTTGATATTATAACTTTTTCCCTAAACATGATACTAAGAAGATCAAAACGCCCTAACATTACATTAGGAATTATAATAAAAACCTAGACATGATTTCTATATCATAATAACAATGCAAACAATTAAAGCACTTACTTGGATGCCTCGTATCTCTTTCTAATAACAAAATTATGTTAGTTCACCCATCATGCAAAGCTATTCCCAGAAGTGATGCTGAGACAATTGCTCTGTTCGCTGAAGCCACGGCTACGCCAGAATTGTGGCATTCCAATGGAACAGTACCTAGGTTTTCTGGGTTTACTGTTCCATTGGTTGCTGGTGGATCTGAGCAACAATCTGATTCAATAATTCCTCCTCGCCATCCTCACCTTCTCTGATGCACAAGCACAGTGAGGATCGGGCTGCTCCTTCACCCTCTCTGGAGCTGAATTCGTGCAAGCATAGTGAGGATCGGGCTGCTCCTTTTACTGGGAATTTGGCTGCCAAAGGAGCTCCTTTATCTTTTGTTGCTCCGAAAGTCCAGGAAGGGAAGCAAATTGCTGAACTACAGGAAGCCGAACTTGAAGCAGGTAATCAAAAATGGGCTAATGCTTTAGTTTTCTATGTGGTTGGCTTTTACCCTACTATTGCTGCTGTTCTTCGATTTTTTGCTCAACAATGGAGTAATATGCAGAAACCAGATGTTTATTGGCATGATGATAGGTACTTTATCGTTAATCTTTGTTCTAGTGATGATAAAGATACTATACTTTGTTCTAGTCCTCATATGTTCCTTGGAAAACCAGCAATAGTGAAGCCTTGGTGTCCTAAATTTGACTTTAATGCTAAAATTCTTAGAACTGTTCCTCTCTGGGTTAAGTTTCCTAATCTCCCACTTAATTGTTGGGGATCTGACACTCTTAGCCGCATTGGTAGTTTGCTTGGAGTGCCAATTTGTGTTGATGAGTGTACTACTAGACAACTTAGAGTGTCTTTTGCTAGGGTTATAATTGAAATTGATGTTACAAAGCCTATGCCTAACTCTGTCTTGGTTGAGAGTCCTTCAAAGGAACTATTGGAGCTTAAGGTAGTGTATGAGTGGGCCCCACCTTTTTGTTCTAAGTGCAACAAGGTTGGTCATGATTGATCTATTAAACCTGTTATTGCTAAGCCTAAGCAGGTTCCTAAGCAGCCAGCTCCTGTTGCTCCTAAGCAAAAGCAGGCTTGGGTTCCTAAACCTAGCCAAGCTCCTGCTCTTGCTGTTGATGTTGGTGTTTCTGTTCATGGACAATCTGTCATTACTCCATAGGTTCATACTTCTCAAAATTCAGATGAGGGGTGGAGAATAGTTGGAAGGAAGACAAAAAGTCAGCAAACTAGAGTTCATCAGCCTGCCTCTACTTCTAATGCCTTTGTTGCTTTATTTGCAAATGAAATGGATGGTGCAGGTGGCTTCACTATAAATCCAAGCGGGGGTGAGGTTAATCCCCCTTTGGTGTCATGATTTACTCTATTTGGAATGTCAGGGGCCTGAATGACCCTGGCAAAGTTACCTCTGTGAAGAGGTTGCTTCATTCTCATTCAGTTGATGTTGTTGGTTTTCTTGAAACAAAAATCAAATTGAAAAATGTCCTCACTTATCAGAGGAAGTTTGGCTCTTCTTGGCTTTGGTTGTGTAATTATGATCATTCTCCCAAAGGGAGGATCTGGCTTGGTTAGAATGTAGATAGAGTAATTGTAAATGTCTTGAAGGTTCATGAACAGTTCATTCATTGTAGTGTCTCTTCTAAGGACCTCTCTACTCAAATTCATCTTATTGTTGTCTATGGGCTTCACTCCATTCATGATAGGCTTCCTTTGTGGGAAGGAATTAGAAGCATCTCTATTCAGCATTCTCCTTGGCTTTGTGCTGGTGACTATAACTCTGTTCTTCATACTTCAGATAGGCTTCATGGTAATGATGTTACTGATTATGAGACTAGAGATTTCCAGAGTCTGGTTGATGATTTGGACCTCACTGAGATCAAAAGCAAAGGTGCTTTCTACTCTTGGTCAAATAAGGCTCACACTGGTCCTAGAACTCTCTCTAGGATTGATAGAGTCTTTGGTAACCAAGCTTGGCTAGCCTCTCATGGGCATGTCGAGACTGTCTATCTTCCCCCCTCTTTATTTGATCATAGTCCAGTTCTGTTGGATGTCTGTTATGTCCCTGCTGGGAAAGGTAGACCTTTCAGGTTTCTAAACTGTATTGCTGATCACCCTGATTTCCTTGATACTGTTTCTCAGGCTTGGAGTTCTGGTAGTTCTGTTTGGCAGAAACTTAATTCTGTGAAATCTAGTATCAAGTCTCTTAATAGCAAGCAGTTTGGCAATATTGAGGGAAAGATTGATCAAGCTAATGTTAAGCTTTCTGGGATTCAAAACTTAATGGCTCAGAATCCTGATGATTTGGATTTTTATGCTAAAGAATCTGATGCTATTAAGGTTGTCAAACACTGGAATGATATTCAGGAAAGCATCTTCAAACAAAAATCTAGGATCAATTGGATTAAGCTTGGTGATGGCAATTCTCATTATTTCTTCTCTGTGATGAAGAAAATAGACAAGCAAGGAATAGAATTGACTCCATCTTTAACTCTAATCAGGTGTTGCTCAAGGATCCGGATGCTATTTCTCATGAAATTATCTCATTCTATAAGTCTCTTTTAGGGACTCAGGCTCCTTTGCTTCCTGCTGTTGACCTTGTTACTATGAGGAGGGGTAAGCAGCTTAGCTCTGTTGCTCAGAGCTATCTCATTAGGCCTATTTCTCATGCTGAAATTGATGCTGCCCTTAAGGGAATTGATAACACTAAAGCTCCTAGTATTGATGGTTTTAACTCCTTCTTCTTTAAGAGAGCTTGGCATATTGTGAAAGATGATATCTATGCTAGTGTTATTGATTTCTTTACTAAAGGGACCTTACCTAAACAATGGAATTGCACAACTATCACTCTTGTTCCTAAAATCCCTAATGCTTCCCATGTTAAGGATTTTAGACCTATAGCATGTTGCACTGTGGTTTATAAGCTCATCTCTAAGGTCATAACTGCTAGACTTGCTGCTGTCATTGGTGAGGTGATTGATGATGCTCAGGCAGGGTTCATTCCAGGCAAGCACATTGGTGACAATATCCTTCTTGCAACTGAATTGATCAAAGGCTATGACCACAAATTTATCTCTCCTAGGTGCATGGTTAAGGTGGATTTGAAGAAAGCCTATGATTCAGTTGAGTGGGGATTCTTGATCATTGTTATGCAGGAGCTTGGTTTCCCTCAAAGATTTGTTAACTGGATCTGGACTTGTCTTACTTCTGTCTCTTATTCTATTCTTATTAATGGTTTTCCTGCCCCTCCTTTTGAAGCTAAGAAAGGTTTAAGACAAGGTGACCCTATGTCTCCCTTTCTTTTTTCTATTGGTATGGAATACCTCTCCAGATGCCTTGATGAGCTTAGGTTAACTCCTGATTTTAACTTTCATCCTAGATGTGAAAAGTTAAACCTAACTAACATGATGTTTGCTGATGATCTATTGATGTTTTCTAGAGCTGATAGTGTTTCTGTTAAGCTTCTCTTCCAAGCATTCTTGAATTTCTCGGGTGCTTCTGGGCTTTCTGCTAATCTTGATAAAAGTGAAGTCTACTTTGGAGGGGTTTCTGTTGATGTTCAGACAGAGCTGAGAGAGCTTCTTGGTGTTTCTCAAGGTAATATTCCTTTTAGGTATCTTGGGGTCCCTCTCTCTTCCAAGAAGCTTACTATTGCTCAGTGTAGGCCTTTGGTGAAGAAGGTGACTGCTAGAATCCAAGGGTGGATGGCTAAACACTTGTCCTATGCTGGGAGGCTTCAGTTGATGAAGAGTGTGTTGTTTGGTATTCAAACATATTGGGCTCAAATTTTTATCTTGCCAAAGAAAATTCTGAAAGATATCGAGGCTAGATTCAGGTGCTTTCTTTGGGCTGGATCCTCTGCCCCTGCTAAGAAATCTTTGGTTGCTTGGAATAATGTATGTCTCCCTAAAGTCTGTGGTGACTGGAACTTGCTTTCTCTTCCTGAGTGGAATAAAGCAGTTGTCACCAAGTTACTTTGGGATATTGCTCATAAGGCTGATAATCTTTGGGTTAAGTGGGTCCATATCTATTACTTTAAGCATAAAGATTGTTGGACCACCCCTACCCCTGCTAAATGCTCTTGGATTTTGAAAAAGATTCTGAGTTGTAGAGATGTTGTGAATGATCAAGGGGGATGAGATGGTTTCATACAGGGCAACAAAATGAAAATCAAGAAGCTTTATGCTGCTATTAGGCCTCAAGTCCCTAAGGTTCCTTGGAAGAGAGTTATTTGTCATAACTTAGCAACTCCTAAAAGTGTTTTTATCTTGTGGCTAACTTTGTGGAATAGGCTTGTCACTAAGGATAGGTTGCTCCAATGGCACATTTCTTGTGATCCAAGGTGTTTCTTGTGTTTGAATAACAATGAAAGTGTTCAACACTTATTCTTTGATTGTGAATACTCTAGACAGGTTTGGAACAAGGTGTTGGGTATCTTACATGTTTCCAAGCCTGTTCAGCAGTTTAGTGATGAGATTGATTGGATGAAGAAAATCTGCAGAAGTTCCAGATTGAAAAACAAAGTGATCCATGTGCCCTTTACTGAAACAGTTTATGGTATCTGGATTCAGAGGAATGCAGTTTTGTTTACTGGTTGTTGCAAATCTGTTGATGATCTAGTTAGGGATATTGTCTTTCATTCTGTCTGTAGAATCCCGGCGGGAAGCAAATATTTGATGTTTAGGAGCTTCTCCTTCTTTTTTGGTCTTCTGATGCTGTTGCTGGTTCTTGGCGATTTCTGGTTCCTAACTTTTGAGTTCTAGTTTCTGGTTTTTTGGGGTTGTTGCTGTTTTGTTTTTGTTGCTCTTGTGGCACTATTTTTGATGCTGGTTTCTACTGTTGCTTCTGCTCTCTTGCTGTTGCTGAAACTTAGCTGTTGTTGCTGTTTCTCTTGCTGTTGCTGACTGTTTTGCTCTGCTGTCTGCTCTAGTTCTGCTCTGGTTAGCAGCTGGCTGTGCTGGGTGCTGTGCTGCAGCTGCTGGCTTCATCTGCTGGTGTTGTTTCCTGCTGCTGACTGCCTTCCCTGTTGTTCTGCTGCTGCTCTGCTGCTGTTGCTGTTGCCGGCTTCTATGCTTGCTGTCAACTCTGCTGGTGCTGTTGCTTGTTGTCTGCTGCTGCTCAACAAGCAGTTGTTGCTGAGGGTTGTTGTTCTGTGCAGCAGCTTCTGCTGCTGGTTGTGCTGCTGCTGTTTCAGCAGCTGCTGGTGCAGATGTTGTTGCTCTGCTTGCTGTCTTCTCTGCTGCACTGTTTTGCTGCTGTGTACTGCTCCAATGTGTGCTGCTGTTCTGCTTGGTTGCTGTTTGTGTTGCTGGTTTTATTATTTTTGCTGGTTTTTGGTGCTTTTTTGTTTTGTGGCTTTCCCTGAGGTGGTGTATTACCCTCTTTTGTCTAGTCCTGTTGCTTTTGCAACTGAGTCTAGGTGGGGGTTTGCTTTTGCAGTTTGCAGGGGTGTTGGTTTTTTTTTTGTTGTTTCTCTGTGTTTGTCTTTGGGTTCTTGGGCCTTGTTTCCAGAACCCTTCCTAGAAGGTGGGAGGAGATTGACCTTGAACTGTTTTGTGTTGGTTGGCCTGTTTTTTGGTCTTGTGGGGTTTGGTGTTTGTTATAACTTAGCTTTTGTAAGTTGTAACTTTTCCTTTTGGTAATAAAATTTCTCTTATTTTCCAAAAAAAAAACAAAATACACACGTTAGTAACTTCAAGGAAAATATAAAATCATACAATTAAATTAAATAATTGAAAGAGAGATTTTGGGACCAAACCCTTAGGAATTAAAACCTTTCACGTCTAGGGCGAAGGCAACTTCGAACTTGGCTAGGTGTGTCTAGATCTAATGTATGAGGAATTGTGTTTGAAGGCTAGGCTTAGAAAGAGAGAGAGAATCAAGAAATTTTTTATGAGAGTTGGTGATAATTGATGAGAAGGATTGATGAGAATTGATTCTTGAAAACAGAGTTTTTAGGACACTGTTTATAGAGATAATCAGCCAAAATGATAGAAAAATAAACCAGAATTCTGACGTGAAAAACGAACTTAGCGCCAGACGCTAACATTAGCGCCATACGCTAAAGCTAGCGCCAGGCGCCAAGCTTAGCGCCAGGCGCTAATGCTGGCGTTAGGCGCTAATAAGTTTTTTTTATGCGTTTTCTAAATTCAGACAAAATTTAACCGTACAGGAGGATAAAATTGTATTTTCCTCAAAAACACTCTTTCATTCTGATTAAAATTCTAAAAAGTCAACAAAAGTCAATTTATCAATGCTAATTGAATTAGGAATGAAAAGAACCTTCTAGAAGAATCTAGAAGACTAAAACCGTTTCTAATTGCATTAGGAATGATAAATCCATATTAGGCCCTCCCTTAGATCATTAGGCCACATATAAGGCTCAAACCGGGCCCAGTTTAGTAATTTGGCCATAACTTCCTCATTATTCATCGGAATTGGGATTATAATATATCGTTGGAAAGCTCTTTTCAAGCCCCATCCAACTACACCATTATTGGACCATTTCTATGAACCAACCAAACTGGATTGGCTGTTTTCATAAAATAGTTTTTCAAAAACAGAGAGAAAAGAAAAGAAATTAAAACTATCCGCAACACTAAACTTTCCACACTTTCACTTCATTCGATTACGATTCGACGTGAAAATTACTCATCATCGGGTTTGGTTTTGGGGAGACACAAATGGATGTCTACACTTCTGCAAGCACTGGAGACTAATGATGTCCAACGAGCTGCCGGTGTCAATAAGGATTCATCCAACCAGCTGGTTGGGGACCTTACATTCAATGACAACCGAGTCGTCATGGGGACACTGGAAAGTGCCCCTATCTTCTCAGTGATCAGAACGTCTGGGAAGGAGGAACTTCCTGCCGCCTGATCATCATCATCATCATTATCCATCTTTCGAAGATGGCTCTTGGTGCCCCGGATAGTAGGGCCACCGCATGAGAACCCGCCTGCTATGGTGTAGACCGGTTCCTTATCAGTGTCCGACTTACTAGAAAGCTGGGGTGTCTTAGATGATTGCCCCGGGTTCTTCTTATTAGTCCCTTTGGACTTAGAAATATAGAACTTTAACATCCCCTTGTAAGCTAGACGATCCAACGCCCGTTGAAGGCTGAAGCAGTCGTTGGTGTCATGGACAACTTCCTCATGGTATTGGCAGAATTTATTTTTGTTCCTTGATTGAATAGAACTTTTCATTGGATTCGGCTTCTCTTGAGACAGTCAGTCCTTGATCTCCATGAGGATGGAGTTGCAGTCCTTGTTAAACTCGTACCTAGGAACGTAAGGTTTAAATTCTTTCTTTTTCTTCTGGGACGACTTGTCAGAATCACAAACCGCCCAGACTTCTTTTCTCTTCTTGGTCTCTTCTATTTTCTAGGCCGGCTGAGCAGGCCGACTGTGTTTCTGCCTGTCAGACTTCTTTGAGTCCGACTGGTTACCAGGAGAACAGAGGTCGGTTTCTTGAATATAACTTTTCGCCTCCCTCAGGGCCGCTTTTAAAGTGAAAGCCCTTTTTCAGACTAGGTCGAACTTAAAGGTCGACCCGTCTCTCAGACCCTTAAAAAAGTCTGTAAAAGCTACCTCATCAGACAGTCCTTGAATCTGAATTTTGATCAGATTGAACCGCCTGATATAGGAGCGCAATCCTTCTCTCTCTCCCTACTTAATGGTGCTCAAGTCTAGACTTTTTTTCTTCGTAGGGATGTTCATTGAGAAGTTTGAAGTGAACAGGAAGGCAAGCTTCCTGAAACTATCGATGGACCCGGCTGGAAAGTTGCCAAACCATTGTTGGGAAATGCCCTTCAATGTAGCCGGAAAGCATCGACACCAAGTGGCATCATCCAACCCTTGTAAATACATGAGGTTGGTGTGAGCCATGAGGTGATCTTTCGGGTTGGAGGAACCGTCATAGGTGCCTACCAACACATTTTTAACCTTGGCCGGCTGTGCCGCCTCGGTTATCTCCCAGGTGAACGCAGAAGGTTGTTCACCCAGGCGGAGCAGATGAAGCTTCCAGTCCAGTGGCTGGACGTTGTTGTATGCCGCCTGACCTCCGAAAAGGGTCGGCTGCATAAAATGGGGAGAATAGGGACCGTAGACCAGAGATGGTACATACGGTGCATTCCCAATCATCTGAGAACCAGAATTAACGGTATTACCGCCTGTATGTCTCTCATGCAAGGAAGGTACATTCCCTGTAGATGTGTTCTTGAACCTGTCTGGAAAGCTCGATGTAGAAGCCGACTCAGATAGCTGCTGATTTTATCTTGCGGGTGATAATCTCTCGGGCGTCAAGAGTTGATTTTTTGTTTCCCAATGGCTATTGAGTTCGGCAGGGATTGTTGGTATTTCTCTGAGGCAGAAGAATCTTGGACCAATCAATGGTCCCGGCTGCCTTCTCCTTTGGATAAGGAGTTGGTTGCCGATCTCTGACTGAGTTCCCCTTCTCCAGAGGAGTGTTTCTTGCCGACTGACCCCTGCTTGGGCCAGCCCAGCTCTTTGTGATCAGATCTTTAATTTCACCCTTGAAACTTGTCATGAACATCATGAGTTCATCTCGAGTGACGGGAGCTGATCCACTGGCCATATGGGTTTCCCCTTCCGACTACCCAGGGGGTCGGTTTGTAGCCGCTTGGTTGGTACCCCACTCTAGAGTGTCTCTAGGCCGGACACGCTTGGTTATCAGAGAACCATCATTGGCTATATAGGTCTCGACCCGAGGATCATCATCCTCCTGGTCAGTAAAAACTTCCGGTTCATTGATCGGACTCTCAGGAGGCGGTACAGACTCTTGAACCATCCTTGAGGTACTCTCCCCACGGACAGCGCCAAATGTTTTGGGTGTTTTGTCCCTTGGGAGAGTTACGTCACAAAGATTGGTCCGGCTGAGCTGTACCTACAAAAACAACGGAGATTCCGGGTGGTGGAGCTCCGCCTCCGATGATCAAGTTAGTAACTTGAAGAAAAATAAAGAGTGCGGAAATTTAGGTGGGGATCTGCTTGGATTCCAAGATCAGTGTTTATCTGATGAGAGAGAAAGTAGGTGTAATAAATGATTCAATTATGTCCCCAAAATGGGGAAATATCTCCCTATTTATAAGGTCGTTAGGGAGTGTGCCCCTATCTAGGTCACTTGACCTAGATTTTAGTGGGCTGCGCCGTTTTACCGCGCTTCTTGGGATTTGGGACCTTGAAGGCCGCCATTTCAGGAGCTTATCTGAAGGGGCCACGCGTCAAGAGGGCATTGAGCCACTTGGGCCATCCTGAACTCGCCATGTGGCCTCCTCTCATTGGTCCACATGTCTAGTGTATTTTTACCCTAAACAATTAGAACGATTATATAAATTATTCTAACACTCCGCCAAACCTAGGTCTGATAAACATTCATTTTCAAACTACGGTGCTTATTTAATTGAAATAACTTCACTTTTAATAGAAAAATATGACAATGATGACAAACACTAAAAAGAAAAACATAAACCAAATCAAATTTACGAAAGTTTCCTCACATTTTCATATCTTTGTTGAAATAAGTTGAAAATTTACAACTTACCTTCATCAATCTTGTACAAAAAAGTCACACTCAATTACGAGCTAGACTTTTTTTTTCCATTTTGGGTCCAGTTTTGAAAATAATATGATTATATATTTTGCCTACGTACTAGAAAAAGTTGCTTTTCAAACAAATTTTCGTTTAAATTATCGGTCCCTTTTCAAATTTTGAATTCTATTTTGAAATAATATGTTTCTAACAA